TATATTGCCAAAAGTATTGGGACACCCCGCCAAGTCATTGGATTCAGGTGTTCCGTGAAATTTCCTTGCTACTAAATATTCCGCGGTCAACTGTTAGTGGTATTAAAGTGGAAGCAACTGGGAACAACAGCAACTCAGCCACGAGGTTAAATGAGAGAGCGGGGTCAGCACATGCTGAAGTATACAGTGTGCAGAAGTCGCCAACTGTCTGCAGAATCAATAGCTACAGACCTCCAAACTTCATGTGGCCTTCAGATTGGCACAACAATGCGTAGAGAGAGAATGGGTTTCCATGGCCGAGCAGCTGCACCCAAGCCTTACATCACCAAGTACAATGCAAAGCGTGGGATGCAGTGGTGTAAAGCACGCCGCCACTGGACTCTAGAGAAGTGGAGACGTGTTCTCTGGAGTGACCAATCACGCTTCTCTGTCTGGCAATCTGATGGATGTGTCCAGGGCCGGATTTACTCTCCCTGCCGCCCCAAGGCCAGGTTCCGCAATATGCCCCCCCCCCTTCCCATCAATGGAGAATGGCATCCAGATGGCAGGCAGCGGGGTTAGTTTCAAATTTTATTTATAATTATTTTCTTATTTTTTTATTAATTTGTTTCTTATTATTTTCTACTTTTTAATCACCTTTTAATTTTTTAATTTAATTATTTCATATTATTTTTTAAAATTTTGATTTATTAAAAAAATGTAATTAGGGCTGCGGAAATTAACGATGAATCCCTCGAATAGGAATCTAGCTATGCATTCTTATGCCTTTTTAATTTTATTCTGACAACTGCAACTGGCAGAATAGTTTAAAAAAAAAAAAAGTCTGCAGATAGCAAAGAAGCTATTGTTTCCTGTGCTATCTGCCATCATTTCAGGGGGGTGCTCTCTCCCAGAGAGCACCCCCCTGAAATGCTTATTTCAGGTTGGGATCCCTGGCATTGGCCTATACACAATACGGTACAGCAATAAAGTAATAAAATGAACTAGGATCACACTAATCCAGCACGTCATTATTCTGAGTTGCCCCACTCAAGCGGCGGCCATATTGAGTGGGGCACGTGAGATTAATAACGTGCTGGATTAGTGTGATACTAGTTCATTTTATTACTTCATTGCTGTGCTGTATGTGTATAGGCCAATGTAGTTGGATCTGTATGTGCGTTATAATTAATCGCAATTAATCGATTAAAAAAAATCTTGATTAATCGAACAGGACATTTTTAATCATTACCAGCCCTATTTTTAATCAATTACATTTTTTTCCCACCTAACTTTATTGCTATTACACAGGAGAAAACAATCCCCTGTGTGATAGCAATTGGAGGTGACACGTTCTCTTTATTGACCCTGTCACCTCCAATACAGGAGTTCTAGCACAGCACTGTGCTGGAACTCCTGTGACAGGTGAGAGAGGAAGAGCACAGCTCTCCCCTCTCACTGTGTACACGGAGCGGCAGGGTTACTTCTAACCCTGCTGCTCTGCTCACTGCAGTGTGGTGAGACTCAGCGGCGGAGCCCGGGGGACGGAGCCAGCGAGGAGAGAGGTAAGTGCAGGAGGGAGGGGGACAGGCTCCAGACTTTTTAAATGTGATCTTGGCGACATCGCCAAGTTCACATGTAAACGAACAATCAGCTTCCCTCACTCTACATTTAGTCCTGCTTGTGCAAAGCAGGACTAAATGTAGAGAGGGCAACTGCCGCCCCAAAGCCGGGCCTCGGTGGCCTTGCGGGGAATCCGGGCCTGGACGTGTCTGGGTTTGGTGGTTGCCAGGAGAATGGTACTTACCTGACTGCATTGTGCCAAGTGTAAAGTTTGGTGGAGGGGGAGGGATTATGGTGTGGGGTTGTTTTTCAGGGGTGGGGCTTGGCCCCTTAGTTCTAGTGAAGGGAACTCTTAAGGCATCAGCATACCAAGACATTTTGGGCAATTTCATGCTCCCAACTTTGTGGGAACAGTTTGGGGATGGCCCCTTCCTGTTCCAATATGACTGCGAACCATTGCACAAAGCAAGGTCCATAAAGACATGGATGAGCGAGTTTGGGGTGGAGGAACTTGACTGACCTGCACAGAGTCCTGACCTCAACCCAATAGAACACCTTTGGGATGGATTAGAGCGGAGACTGCGAGCCAGGCCTTCTCATCCAACATCAGTACCTGACCTCACAAATGTGCTTCTGGAAGAATGGTCAAACATTCCCATAGACACACTCCTATACCTTGTGGACGCCTTCCCAGAAGAGTTGAAGTTGTTATAGCAGCAAAGGGTGGGCCAACTCAATATTGAACCCTACATACTAAGATCGGGATCCCATTAAAGTTCATGTGCGTGTAAAGGCAGGCGTCCCAATACTTTTGGCAATATAGTGTATGAGTAAAGGGAACAGGTAGTCTTATCTACTCTGAAAGGTTGAATACCAGCTGCAGCCAGGGTACAGCGGACTGCAGTAAAAAGGTAACTATAAATGGTCTTCATTTTCCGGCCTGGTCTTAATGGAGTGACCCCATGGTGACACAATTTACTTTCAGCACTGTGCAGCAGGCTATACCTCACAACACACTATATACAGTACACTACACACTCAGTGTGACATAGTTACTAAAAGGAGCCTTCACACACTTGTTTTCTACATTTTTTACATGCAGGGCATAGGGGGGAATAATAAAAAGTGTCTGAGACAAACTTTGTCTTAACAGGAGCACAGCCAATCAGATTTTACATTTTCTAAGCTATGTGGCAAAAATAAAAGATAGAAGCTGATTGGTCACTATGGGCAACAGCACCCATGGAGCTAGAACTTGTCTCAGACACTTTTTATTAATTCTTCCTCCATAGCGTGGAAAGGAAGGGGCGCAATGTTGCATGTCAGCAATCAACCACTAGATGGTAGGCTTCTGCCACAAGTTGTATGCTCTGTTCACGTGAACAATGTAGTCAATAAAGTTTGATTTGGGGATATTGAAAAGAAAAAAAATTCAAGTTGTTGGCGGCGGCGAAGAGCAGAGATCGGTCTACGTCACAGGTGGGTCCCGGGGATACTCTCACCCCAATATCATGGCGGTGCGGGCTTCCCTGGCAGGGTGTCATGTCTTTTATGAGTACAGACTGTTTTTCTCTGTGGTAGACATCGGGCGGGGTGGGTGACCCCGGACTGTCACCAGATACATCCCCTGTGAGGAGGGACAGGAGTCCGGTGTGGTCACTGTACATCACCATACTGCAAGTGAGCCATTATCCCCGAGTCTTATTAAAGGCTTATTAAACTTTTAGTAAAAAAAAAAATGTACTCCATATTGCACAAACAAAAACAAATGTGCATTTATTAATTCCTTTGCATTACAGCCTGCAAAGCATTGCAACCTGGATCAGTGGATCCTGCAGACTATTGCTCCCAGCTCTACTGAGGTTCGGCCTACTGTTCTGGGGCTGGGGGAAGTATCAGTGGGCTACAAGAGCGGGGACATCACTGTGCTTGTATTCCATTCCAAAAAAAACCTCTCTGCTGTGGTGGCAATGCCCACATTCCAGTCCAGTGCGATCTGAAAAAATTCTGCAAGCGCTATTTTTTTTTTTTTTCTGATCGCACTGGACCAGGCATTGATGGTGCAGGTGATCACAGTGTGGGTGGGCGGTGCCATTGACTTCAATGCCACGCCCCTGAATGTAGGAAGCGGACTGGGATGAGATACAGTGTGTTGCAGCAGCTGACCACCCTGGAACGCACTGTTTATGGTGTAAACAAGCCCCTAAAGAAGAATTCCATGAAATGTTTTTATTAACCCTTATGGTGGAGCTGCCCCAGCACTGCAAAGGTTAACCGCTCGTTTTGTGTTTTAGGTGCTAAAACAATAGTTAATCTCACATGAATCGGGGAGCCACTTTGCTTTTAGACCGGTCCTTCCAGCCTCTCTTCCCACCCCCGCCCCCCCTCCACTGCAGCGGTCTAAGGTCCAGTAAATCATCACATTCTATATACTGTGTATAGACGTGAGGATGCAGCAGTGGAGGAGGAGACAGGCAGGAGGGAGCACTGACAGCCGGCTGCCTCAGAGGATCAGGGGAGTATAACTTTGTTATTTGTGAACCTGAAACGCTGTGTTATATAAACAGTTATTATTTTACCATTTTTTCCCATAATATACTGTTTCCATCTTTTTTTGCATTGCAGTGCTGCTGAGCTCCTGCATCCTCTTTCAGCCACTTCCTGTCTACATGTACATTATTGCTCTGGACTGGACTGACTTTCTGATGGTGACAACAGTGGGCCATGCCTGTGCAATAAGTGTTGGCACGGTCACATGTGGTCTCCATCAGGGGCACATTGATGGCCAGACAATTGTTACCCTATAACAGGAAGTGCTTGAACAAGGATTTCGTCGTAGGTGTTTATTGGAAAATAAAACAACTTTTAAGGCCGTGCTCACACTTGTCTGGTTCATTATCGCATGTTGCATTGAGGCAGACCGCTATTTTGAATCGCATTTTAGGGCAGACAAAATCGCAGGAAACTTTCAGGAACACACAGTATTGCATTTCAAAACTGGAGCAGACAGTATCTGGAGAAGTTGCCCATAGTAACCAATCCGCTTCTCTCTCCTCGTTCAGGTAAAGGATAACAATGGGGTTTTTAAAAATCAACTCTTCTTGCCGTGAGGTTACCCCCACAATGCCTCACGTCTAATGGAATACTTTAGATGTTAGGATGCTGAAGGACATTCCGGAGCGGAGGGGGGGAGAGTTGAGCAGCCATTGAGAATTGGGTGAGTATTTCTTCTTTATGTTTGGCCCTAGACCAAAATGAGCAGTTAACCCTTGCAGTGGAGGTCTTCCTTACGCTTTGAAAATGACAGCTAGACAATGATTGGGTGCTATGGGCAACTGCTCCAGTTTTGATAAATTCCCCTTCTTATTATATTTAATTCTTGTTTATTTTACAATCCCTTATATATTTCATATTTATATGCAGACAAAGTGTCAAGGTCTAAAACAATCACTGCAGCCATGTCTGTGACCGGGAACTTCTTCTGTAAACTGAGGTCTTTGGCGATCACATTGGAGAAGGAGACGGCTCATCTTGACAAAGCATTCAATCAAGAAGACGATGGTAAATACAATCTGTGTATAAAAGAAACACATGAATCAGCACAAATTCACCCACTAATTAGTGGCCCAATAAGGACTTTCGTGGCAGGGTCAGCAGGCATTTTATTGAAAGCTGCACATTTTGCAGAATACACAAAAATGTTAATTGTAGGAATTTAGCTATTGGGTTTACATTTGCAAACACTGAAATTTCAAGGTAAAATCCGACCTTGAGCAAACATTTGTTTGCAGGGGAATCTTCCAGGTGCATGTGTTTTTAAATGACCGTGAAAGATTCTCTACTCGAATCTTTTGTGTAGTCACATTCACTGCTTTATAAATGGACCTTTATGTGCCTGTGGCTTTTTCAGGAGGTGTCCCAGGCACAGTGCAGGATGTGGGATTCTCGATGACGTTATTTGTCTCAGCTCTGTTGGCTGAACAGCCCGGAGGTCATCGGATCTCCACAGCTCTCTCTTAGTATGTCGTTTTGCTCCTGTATATGCATAGGGGGCAGAGGCTATTGCTGAACAGATCAGAGTCCTGCCCTCTGTTCTCTCTCTCTCCTCTAGTTGAAATAAGTAACAAATGGCATAAAAAAGAGTAGGAGAGAGGGAGGATCAGAAGGGATAGAGCTGCCCTATTAGATGCTCGGTATCTGGCAAAAATAAATATTGCTACAGAGAACTCCTGCAAGGGAATTGTTACATCCTTCTCCTCACATAGTAGCTGGATAATGCCAAAAAAGGAGGTTACATCAGATTTTTTAATTTCAGTGTGCATTGACGTATGTGTGTATGTATGTATGTATGTATGTGTATATATATATATATATATTACACACACTCTACATTTGTTAGCAGGGAGTCAAATGAAATAAATACCTCCCTCTAGAGCAGTGTTTTTCAACCTTTTTTGTGCAAAGGCACACTTTTTTCATGAAAAAAATCACGAGGCACACCACCATTAGAAAATGTTATGGGGGGGGGCTTTACATTTGGTTCTGCCCTCTGCGGTTAGAATGAGTCACACTTTAATTATCACTTTAATAACTCCTTCATGGCACACCCAGCGTTACATGCGATGACTCACCGGCCCAAGAGTGAGGAGGAGACTCAGCCCAAGTGATTCCGTCAGGTAACGAAGGGAAGGGGGAGGAGTCTATGTCCGTGACGTCACCGCCCTCCTTCCCTTCGTTACCCATCACGGACAACTACATCACCCGACTCCTCCCCCCTTCCCTTCGTTAGCCGACAGAGCCACTCGGGGAAGGGGGGAGGAGTCCGGTGACGTCGATGTCCGTGACGTCACCGGATCTCCGAGGAAGACCCGGAAGCCGGCGGAGAGGTGAGTAACTTTGATCGATCAAAATAATTTTGATCGATCAAAGAAATTAACGATTTATTGACGGCACACCAGAAAATATCTCACGGCACACTAGTGTGCCGCGGCACAGTGGTTGAAAAACACTGCTCTAGAGGATATACTAAAACAAAGTTAAGGGAACCCTGTTCTCTAGTTTTATACTCTTATTAACATTCGTGCTAATTTAAAAAAAAAAAGTCTGTATATTGTGATTTTAAGGGACTTTTTAGGTGCTTATCATTTGTTAGAATTTGTCCAACTTTTTAAAAGGTTCAAATTTAGTGGCAACAATATTAAAAGCTGTCATTCTTGGTTATTCCTTAGCCTTGAAGCCATAAATGCCTTCCACCATAGTTGTGACTTATGTGGAAGATAAGCACTACAACAGAGGGCGCCTGCTGGGTTCCCCGTATCTCCCACTGCAGCTATTGTATTCTGGCAGCCAGTGAACAGTGGCTGCAGCTGATTGGGCCTGCGGACAGAACAAAAAAACATCTTTTAGTGTATGGCCAGCTTAAAGTAAATTAATGAAATTTAGCTGGGAGACTACTGGACAAGCTCTGGAGATGCTTGCTGAATTCTTAATAAATGTCCACTGAAGCCCGCAGAAATACCTGCTGTGCCTGATGTTATTTAGAGCATGATTTTCAGACCTAGATACAAAAATGTCCACTATACTCACCCTAAGAATCAGCTGCTTTCATGTTTGGTTTAGAAGTTACTATTGCCTTGATGTGCAAAGATACGTTTACACTTCTGCAAGCTATGCACCCTGCGTCAATTTTCTGTTTGTAACCACAATGTTCTCCTTCCTGCAGACTATGAGGATGAATCCCCTATCAGAGTGCTGCATGATCTGCGCTCAGAAATCATAGGACTTAAGGTGAGGTTATGGCAATGAGCAAGTAATATAAGGAAGTATGTTCAACATATCTGGTCTCCTCTTATTGTGGCTGAAGAAACATGCTAATTTTGCCCCATGTCCACCAAAAAGACATACTTCAAATTTGAATCTAAATAAGTATGTGTGAAGTCGCATTGGACTCTCTACTTAGTTGAAGGACAACTACACTTTTGGAACAAGTTGCACTTTAATGCAGCCACCCCCCTTGAGTGCTGCCCATCAGGTCTGATCCTCATCTTGGTCCTCAATCCAATATTTACAAGGCAGTCCCTCTAGGAAGTGCACAGCCCTGTTGGGGTAGCTCATCTCTGGGTCCCTTTCAGTACATGCACCATGGCCCACTTCATTCCAATTAGAAACCAAAGTCATGCAGCCTCCTTGCATATTTCGGCTATCTTCACAGGAATGGATGGAACCTTTGCCCGTAGACTGAAGGGGACCCAGCAGGGACGTTTCCTGAAGCAAGGCTGTCCAGGACAATGTTCACCAGACAAACAGAGAGGGTGAATGTCCACAGAGGTAATACTGGACAGGGGTATTACAACTCACTCTGTTCAAAATGTAAAAATGATTGAGCTTTACATACACTTTAAAGGAACCCTTTGAGCCTGCAATTAATGAGGGCTCATTCTGAACATGCTAGTTGCCTGGCTGTTGTACTGACCCCCGTGTTTCAATTGGGAAACCCAGAACAAGTACACAGATAAGGATTTCTGGCTTTTCTGGCAAGCATAATTGTTTTTTTGTTTTTGTTTTTCTCAAAGTATTGAAGCCAGTCAACACTTTGAGCCAGACAAGTAACATTTTCATAAGGAGGTCAGAAATAAAAGCACCGTATTTCTACAGATTTACTTTAGGGCTTGTTCACACCAAATGCAGACCAGATCTGTATGAGTTGCTGCAAACGCAGTGCAGTGTGTTTTGACGCGTTCAGGGCAGGTTTTGCACAGAATTTTTTTTTTTTTTTAAATGGGCTTCCAGTGCATGCGTTCCAGAGCAGGTAAAATAGTGCTTGCTGCAGTTTTTTTACATGCTCTGGACCTGAACGCTGTGATGTGAACTAGAGCCCAAAATACCATTTGGAATACATTGGAAGCAGTTTGGATCCGGTCTGTAACTGCTCTGCTCCTGGAACACGCTTGGTGTGAACTAGCCCTAAAAGTTGTACTCTGCATTTATCTGTCCACCTAACATAGCCCGAATGTGATGATAAAAAAAAAAAAAAACCTTTTTTTTAAAAAACCAATTCTTCATAAGGTGACTATGGTTTGAACTTGTATGTCCCCTCTGTTTTTTTAGCATGTCATAGCTGCACAGGGCTAAATGAGGAATCCAAACGCTCCAGTGGAGATCTTTTATTTCATTGATTCCCCTGTTGGTCATGATGATGCAATAGTGGGGGTTTATGTAGACACAGTGCAGTTCCTGCTGAGGACTAATAATGTTAAAGTCTATGAAAGTTTTGGCTAGAATGTGGAAGACCTGTCATGTTTTTTTATTGCTGTGTCCCTCCTGGCGAGATTCACCCTCCAATTTGTCCTAGTGCATATTGTTGCCAAGACAGACAGTGATGGGAACTCCAACATTTTACAGTTATTTTACTTCCTGTTGAATCTCTGCTATCAGTAAGTGAAGGGAAATCTCCACAAGGTAACATACACAGCAAAAAAAAAAACAGGCAGCGGTCTAAGGATTTCAAAAAAACGAAACAAACAAAAAAAACAGCTGTGTTTTCACATGCACTTTAATGCATGGTGGCCACATATTCTGGTCGCCCCCGTGATAGGCTATAACTTCAATACAAATTAGTAAACTAAAACTGAGATTGTAGTCCATCACGGGAGCAACTTGTAGCAGTGAGTACTTTACAACACACACTGGGATCATGGGGAACAAAAGTAGCCACCCTCCAAAAGGAAGGACAGTGTCAGCATCAATTCAGAGATGATTTGATGATCTACAGCTGAATTATACACAAATAAGATGGATTTTTGTTAATAGTTAAGGTACTTGAATGCATTTTTAAGATTTAACTCCTGAGTTTAGTGTCACTTTAAGTAAAATGATAAATGGCACTGCCACTGTTTTCTGACAGTCTGTTGGACTCGCAACCACATTGTAGAGAGCAATAGAAGATACAGCAAGAATTAGTAGCTTGGAGTGGTATAAAACACTGATCTATAAATGCCTCAACATTCCCTCCTCTACAAAATAGCAGTTTCTTAGATCTCAGAGGCAGACATTCTTTACTGTATATTGCCAGCAAGGCAGCTTTTCCCCATCCCAGGAGCCAACATGTGCAATACCGCTCGAATTTGTTTTCAGACCACGGAGTAAAGTGGCCAGTCTTTGTGAGCCCGCTCGAATTTGTTTTCAGACCACGGAGTAAAGTGGCCAGTCTTTGTGAGCCTGTAGCAAGATTGAATGGCCATGATGGTCCATTGCAAATATGGTTGATGATCTATTACTTTCTTTTCAGTCATTAAATATTGCTTTATTTCTTACAGACTGATATCCAAGGCACTATTGACAAAAACAGCAAAAAAGGCGAAGAACTGACTGCGTTTATAAAGCTTTGCAGAGTGCTGCAGGCAAGAAGCTCTACAGATATCCATGAGGTTAAAGATATTTTTCAGAAGTACGGATATAAACCCCCTGACACATCAGGTAATCTTAGACCGATTATTTCTTATTACCAAAACTGTTGGATTGCTGTGCTGGAAGATACAGAATAAGACGGGAAAGGCCTATAAGTAGTATGCAGTCCTTGAAGCAGGAAAAAGTGTAACAACTTTCTCACAAGTTTTTTCCTTTCTAATTGTTTCCTTTGCAGGGTTGTGCTTCTGGCCAACCAAAGACTAAGTGCAGTTATTTGCTGCCAACAACAGGAAGATACAAAAGTGACATAGTGATGAGCCTTGTCTGAGATACCTTAGGGATGATGTATGAAAGGTGTACTAACAAGAAAATATCTAGTTGCATATAGCAACCAACCGAAGTAATTTTTTCATTTCCAGACCTTGATTTGTAGAGATGACTATTGGGCAACACGGAGGCTTAGTGGTTAGCGTGTCTGCCTTGCAGCATTGGGGTCCCTGATTCGAATCCTGGTCAGTTCACCATCTGCATGGAGTTTCCTTGTGTTTGTGTGGGTCACCTTTGGGAACTCTGGTTTCCTCCCACACTCCAAAGACATGCTGGAAGGTTAATTGGCTCCGGTCTAAATTGGCCCTGTATGTATACATGTGAGATGGGGGACCTTTGATTGTAAACTCCTTGAGGGCAGGGACTGAATGTCCTCTATGTAAAGCGCTGCATATAATTGTCAGCGCTATATAAATACCTGGAATGAATAAATAAGCTGATTTGTTACCATAGGAAACCAAATGGCTAACCACACCTCTGGGTTCAGGAGTCCACAGCATGGAGCTAAAACCGAAAGCCTTTTCAATTTGCTTGCAAGGACTACAACTAAAGCAACAAAAGACAATGATATACTTGCTATCTCTTAAACAGTAAATATACTGCAATAACTGTCCCCAGATATTAACATATACAATCTCTCACTTGTATACTATGATTTAAACACAATGCGATCTCTCGCCTGTACAAAAACACCACTTGTATAAGTATATACTTGGATTTTATTTTTGAGTACGGCCTTTATTATCGTAGATCCCATACTGTACGTGTGTTTTTATGGGGTTGATCTACCCAGATACATTTTTAATAGAGTATTTTGAGGGTGAGGTGGTATATGAAATTCTGTTGCGAGCCACTGATTAAGTATATTTAATGTATAAGACATAGCAAGTGTGTGATTGCCTTTTGTTGGTTTAGTTGTAGTCCTTATCAGCAAATTGAAAAGGCTTTTATCATTCTTTATCATTCTTGCAGCACACTTGTTAGACATTGACACCTTTTATTGTCTATGTGCGTGAGTCCAGAATATTTGCAGTATGCCCAAGGTTAGGAAAAAGGCAAACACTGTAGTAAAACTAATCCTTCCCAAAAAGTCCATCTCTCTCAGCAACAGCTTTCTACAGAAATACTGATTCTCTCCTTAATAATCCAGCCACTCCTTTCACTATTTATTTCTAGGTGGCTCAGGCAGATCATTATTCAAGCCTATGGTCTCAAAGATCAGGTTCCAACCTTTCCTGTCAAGGTGAATTCTACTAGATATGCGAGTGCCTTTTGGTCCCTCTAAGTTCTACCAGGTGGACATTTAGGGCTCATCTGATTTCAGCGTCAGGCGTAGGGTCCATCAGGTGGCTCTATGAGCTGCAAGCTGTCCCCAGTTCTGGTTTCTTGGCCCTTTTAGCATTGTTTGCAGTTGCCCACCCTTCAGTTGGACTGCTTTTTGACTTCCTGTGTCCCTCAGAAGACATGAAAAATATATTAAAATTTTTGTATTCACTGTTATATTCTTTTCATGGATCCCATTGGGAGACAGGTCCCACTTCTGTGTTTATGATCATGCTTTTAGCACATCTTTGCTTCACTAGTAGTAGTAGTATTAGGGGTTATCCATGGCTGGTATACATTTTTACTGTTTGCTAGTGTTCTATCCTCCCTGTAGGAAGCAGTATAACGCTAAGGTTTCACATTTCATGTGTCCCTCCATTGACACCATGAAAAAGATTTTACGGTGGTTACAAAAATCCAATTTTATAAACCTATTATAAACAAGGTTTGTTTTTTTGTTTTTGTTTTTTTCCCCCCAGAAAATGAGGTATTTGATGAAAATCCTAAACCTGATGGTGCTGATGACAGCAAACATAACAGGGATCCAGCAGACCTTCCTCTTGCTCCTCCAGCCATGCAGAAGCGAGAACTGTTGGATCTACGAGCTCCTCAGTTGTCAGACTTTGGCCTGTCTCATTACCAGCTGCCCACAGTGTGGGAACCACAGAATGACAAGTTGCACGTTAAAGTACCAGAAGAAAAACCCAAGCCCTTTTATAAAGATATCCGTACACTAAATGTGGCTCGGACCCCTAAATGTTCCCTGACAAAAGAGGAAGACTTTTCACATATACAGCACTTTGGAATCAGTGACTACAGCAACAATCTGAATGATGACTATACCATTGCACTTCTTAACAAGAAAAAAGGAAGGTAGGTGTGCACCGGTTTCTTAGGGAGATAATCCTTACATGTAGAATTCATAAACCTGCTTTCACTTTTACCAACCTGATCTCTGCTGCACGGGTCAGGGAACTGACTGTTTCTCTCCATCACAGTACTAGTACAGAGGGGTCTTGTATTTCCTCCGGGAAAGGGGCTACGAACAATCCGTACTTACGAACGGGGTCCACAGTACTCCTAGATGTACCGGCAGCCGCCGGTACATTTAGGAGAACTGGCTGCAGCGGCCTGTGTCCCTTGAAATCCCAGCTGCTCTCCGTGCCTGTGTTGGCGGGGCACAGACCGCTGCATTGCTCCGCTGCCACGCCCCCCGTACCTCTGCTGCTGTCTTCCCCCTTCTGGCCGCAGCACCTCTGCCCCGCCCCCTGCCTCATCTGCAGGCTGTGTATGGCTCCCAGCCTGCAGATGAAGAGGGGGCAGGGCAGAGGTGCTTCGGTGACTGTCATCCACGCTTGATTAATCGAACTTCATAATCGGCTAACTAATCGATTATGAAAATAATCGTTAGCTGCAGTCCTACTTTGTTCATTTTTTTTTCTTTACGTAGCTGCTAGAGGTGGTCTTTACCATTGCAGCTATGCAACGTGGCCCATGCTCAGTCTGGCTTCTGCAGTGCCACAACTGGACTCTGCTGGACTGGAGTTTGCAGGGAATGACCTTCAGGCCCTGGGTTCCACATAAAACGTATGAGGATGTCAGCACACCAAAATCCTTTCGGGATCACAAAGTGTTCATTTATTAAAGATTCTTGTCATAAAAACAAGTGCTTTCAGGGCCGCACAGGGTCCCTTCATCAGACTTAGCAGTGACAATGTGCACAAATCACACCAAATTTTATATGGACAAACAGATGCAAAACACCCCCTGACGTCGTCATGATGTCATAAACCCGCCAAAAACATTGTAATTTAAATAACACCGTCATGTATAAAAGAATCGGATAAAAAGGATAGAAAAATATAAATCAGACTGCTGCACAGTAGTTAGGCAGAACCAAGGATATGTTGAACAGATTTGAGATAAATAATAGATGTGTACACCCTGTTGTCATAACATAAGTTATTTCCATTACAGTGTTGCTGAAAATTGTACTAAGGAGACCTCGCAAAACCTGAAAAGTATGCTAGCTACACCAGCTCAGCTGAAATACAGACATGGTAAGTGACATTGAAACTATAACATATTTAAAGCAGAAGAGCATAGAGAGTTAAATATACTCTCTTCGCTGTTTAGAACTGGCGCAGGACACTGCAGCTGTCTCAAGCCAGCTCTAAGGCCAGGCACTGAGGGATCATGTAACTGGTCATTGTTCAGCTCTTGGTGTCCTCTGCCTGCAGAGAGCCGTGACTGTCGATCATCATCCCCTGCAGGTAGGGATGAACTGATACCGGTATTTGGGTATCGAGTACGAGTACTGATTCTTTTTTTTCAGTACTCACCAATGCTGGAAGTCACATTTAAGGATGCCAGGCGGTGTGTAATGACTTGCCAACTGGCTTCCTGATTAGCAGGGAAGCCGCCCCCATGCTTCTCGTCACTATGTGAAGAGAAAGCATGGAGCCGGCTTTCTGGCCAATCGGGTAGCCGGGCGCGGTGTAATGACACGGCGCCCGGCTTCCTGATTGGCCGGGAAGCCAGCTCCTTGCCCCCTTGTCATGAGGTAACGAGGGAGCATGAAGCCGAGTACTCGCCCAAATACTCGGCACCGATAATAGTATCGGTGCATCCCTACCTGCTGGTATTCCCACCTCCCCTTCTTTCTTCCTCCTGTGCTCATTGGGGGGACAGACGTGAGAGGGCGGGCATGGCTGGCTCTGGATCTGGAGAGGCAAAGCCAGCTGTCACTTAACAGCCTGACAATATTTTCAGAAATCTTCCTGACTCCCGTGTGGCTCTGCACTGTCAGCAGATTGCAGTAGGGATTCCCTACTAGTGACCTGTTACGATTTCCCTCACAGGCCTTAGTGGTGGATGTTTTTTCTCAGACTGGCAACATCCTGAGAAAATATTTACTCTCGCAAAAATGTTTAGCTAGCACCCCTTTGAGGTGTGTTCCTCCAGAAGTGGGTTATTCTGGAGGTAGATGCTGCAATCTATTGTCTCTCTCTCTCCTCTCTCCTCTCTCTCTCCCCGTACACTATAAGTGAGCATCAGCGGTTACCGTTCATTAATAGATGCCTCAGTAGGCATCTATTAATGAAATAGTTAAGCTTGTAACAGCTTATTTCTTTCATCAGTGAAGGAAAAAAGCTATAACAAATACCAGCATCGCTATCGGCGATCCGGAATTTCACAGCTGAAATAGCAGATAAGGAGAACTGAGAAAGATCCGAAGCCTTTAAAGGAGAACTATGGGGTTAGGGCTTTTCCCCATAGTTCTCCTTAGGGTAACGGGAGGACACAAACTAGCGTCCTCCCGTCACCCTAGGCTCCGTATACCGCGAGCTGTAGCTCGCGGTATACTGAGATGCCGCAGTCTACTGAGAGCAGCTGCTCGCAGTGTACTGAGACGCTGAAGCGGATCCCGACAATTGTGCCGGGATCTGCGTGACTGACAGCTGGCTCTGTCTATCTAAAGGCAGAGCCAGTTCTACCTGTGACAGTCTCATTGTCCACAGGTTGGCTAGAACTATGAGGTGAGTGAAAATCACTCACCTCTTAGTTCTCCTTTTAAGCTCCATTCACACTGAGCGTTTTATAGAGCGATTTCTGCTCAAACATGAAGCTTAATGTAGCTCTTATCGATGGAGGTGTTCACATCTTGCAGCTCAATGTTGCTTGTAGCTGAAGCTTGTCGCTTGAACATGACCTGTTTTTCGGCGATTTGGCCCCAATAGACTTTGATAGACTGCCAAAAGAAGCGCTACGTAGCGCAACAAAATGTGCACTGTAGCTCAATGTCGCTCAAAGTCGATCAGCTCAAATGCTTGTAGCTCAGTGTGACTGAGGTCTTAGTGAGATCTAATCCTGTCAAGATAAGTCAGTAAGGTTATTATTGGCTGTTCCTAAGTTTGGAGCAGCCTAATAATAACCAGAAAAAAATGATTGTAAAGTGTAAAACAAAAAAGCTCAGTCATGAAGGGGTTAAAAACCCAGTGGATTTGCACTTTGAAGCCTGTTGAAGGCTCCCTGTGTCCTGCTTGGACCTACCCTGCATTCGGTGGTCACTAATGAGGGTATGTCAGACTAGCCATCTGGACAAAGCAGATGCGTGGGAACCTAGTTCTATTTTGACAAGAGCTAATCTTTTGGGGTGTCTGGCGTTGTTACCAGGAGCGTAATGCTTTTGCTTGGATGGTTTGGCTGACACCCTGTTTCATCTCTCAAGGTTAGCACCTGGTTGGCATGCAAGAAATGGCGGGAGAGCATTTGTTGGGGAAGGCTTTGATCCTTTTATTAAGGTCACAGGTGGGAAGAAGTAGAAGGCCAAGGCTCAGTCAGCTAGATCCAGTTAAGAACTGGCTAGGAAGATTTATTTTGCCCCTTTTGGGCCTTCACCTGGATATTCGTGCGTCTGCTGGTGTGAGTTTTGCCTATAAGGTGCTACAGGCCGATGTCTGTCTGAGTTGGGGTTTTTCCTTGGTTTTTTTTCCCGTTATAGGACTGTTGGCAGTTGTTTTTCTGTGTGCGCACCCCTAAGGCATTGCTTGTAAACATCCCAGTCTATAAATTGCCTGTGTCCTGTACGGTGTGATCAAGAAGCAGGATTTTTGACTTGCCAGTAAAATAAGTTTCTTGAAGTACAGTACAGGACATAGCACCCTCCCCTCCATATTGACTCCCCTTTTATTTTATTGTTCTTTTTTTCTGTTATTTTCAGTGGTCGTGTGAGCTGGCAGCCAGTGAATTGTCAGCCACTCTGCTGCTGTACTGGCTACCATCAGCTGCAGTTTGGCAGCAAGGCTCCTGGGAGTCACCATTGATCAACAAAACAGGGCTGGGTAGGGGGCATGGCTACAGGAGATACAAGGCACCTTGGAAGAGTCAAAGTTCTGTCAAGGTGAGAAGCAGGAAAAACAACCTCAAGGGGAACAGACTATTTTTTTTTAAACAAAATCATCCGGAAAGGAAGAAACTGACTGAAACCATTTGTCTAGAGATTCACAATCTTTATCGCTATATAAATCGGTCAAAGATGGGAGCAAAAGTAAAAAATCTTATCAACGTGCAGGTTTAAACAGATACTGCAGAAGGGGTAGAAACTACAGAATCCTCTACATTTAAAGCTGAACACAGTGTCCATTCAAAATGCCAGTTTTTATTATTCTCCAGCATCACTCAACTAGCAGCTCTTGATAGTAGAATCTCCCTATAGAAACAAAACGAAAAGGGAAGGAGACATCCATTCTCCTGAGGAGGACAATAAGCGAAACTGGCAGGTGGAAGGAGCATTTCCTTAATGTTTTGCCTAGTGACCATTTCTTCTGAAGGTAGCAGCATAACCCTACGTCTCCGAATTCTTCAGAGCTGTGTCCCTCAGTGGACAATAGAAAAAGTAAGTTTGGCTTAAACTACATGACTATTAAACAATGTTTTTGTTTTTTTTAATTAGATTTCTACTCTGCGGACTCTCCCTTACCCCCAGTGTTCTGCACCCCTGGACTAAAGGTTCACAAGAAAGAGGAGACTTGTGACTTGAACCAGCCTAAAAGTATTAGAAGGTTAGTATTACTTATAATTAAAATCTAGTCATCTGGTGACAGTTTCAAGAGTGGCCAGCAAACATTGCTTTTTTTTTTTTCAAGGACCATTGTAAAACTGTCCCACCCCAGAGCAGAGGAATTTCCTCCAGGTGATCAGGTGTTGTCTCCCTGATAATCCAAAATCTAATTTTAAGATCTCAGCGCAATCGTCAAGCTCACCACGCATGTTACAATCAGATTGTACAATCTCCTTTTTATATCTGTAAAAAATAAGTCACGGCAACTGGACTTGCTGTATTTTTCTTGAAGACGTTCACTGGACATCCAACCAGCTTTCTCAATTCAGAATAACTTGTACAAAAATTCCTGGAAATAAATATGGTGAATGTTGCTCCAATCCACATAATCTGTTAGTCACAACCAGGTGTTGATTGTATTTGCATAATTGGAGTCTAGGAGGTGTTATTAAACTGCCCAGAGAGAGGTGTTGAAACAGAATTGTATGTGGCAGACAATAGATGTCTCACCCCCACCTCTATTCAAGCTTGGCTTCTCCATTTTTTACATAAATGGCCTCTTTATGAATGAGAACCTTCACAGACAATCTGCTTTTAGATCTACCAACAACTATGTAGTGCAAGGACCTGCCTAATTTGATACAGATTGATTGGACGGATCAGGCAGGCCCTTTAAATTACATAGTTTTGGCAAATCTAAAATTGATTGCACAAAGATTGTATGGTCAGATTGTAACTTATATGGGGACCCTTAGATTGGCATAATGACAGTGGTTGAATCCAGGACCTAGACAGATCCCTATTCCTGTTTAATTTTATTGATAACACTAATCTGCACTAAGTAGATTGTTGGTTTTCCTTTCTTTTAGTGGGTCTGACAATTCTTCTGAAGAATGCAGCTCTTCAAAAGCACTGGGGAGAGGTAAGGTCCTATCAATGCATTTCACTATACAGTCCTATTAAAATCATATTTTTGGCAGCTGTGTATAATAGAAGAAATGGAATAAAGGGCGAAACTTGAATGTTTTTAAATATGTTTTGGTGTGCCCCAGATATTTGCTGACATTTGTATGTGCAAAAATATGTAACATCCCTCCACTGTATCCAAAATAAAAAAAATAAAAAAAACTTGTAAAATGGTTTGAGCTGGAGTGGCCTTTAGGATAGAGATAATTTGGTACAGTATATTGGTGAGAGAGAGAGAGAGAGAGATCACATTCATGCAGATATACAATGAGTGGACAGATTATTATGACCACCTGACATTTGTAGGCAAATTAGCTATAATTTGCCTACAAACGTTAGGTGCCTTTGAACGTGGGATGATTGTTGGCGCTCGGAGCCATGGAGCGAGTATCAGCAAAACAGCAGAATTTGTTAAATGTTCAAGAGCAGCTGTTGTTAAAGTGTTTAAAGACTGGACTGTCAGCCGAAAATCTGGGTCTGAACGTGCGAATTGTGGCCGTCAGCCACTAGTCAATGTTAGGGCAGAACGGAGAGTGGCAAGACTGGTACAAGACAACAGAAGGGCAGCAGTGCAATGTCAGATTCCTCGCATTACCTTTCAACATCTCGTGGAGTCACGAGGCGGCCCAACGAAGTCATCTCGTGGCCACAACGAAGTACTGATGGGGTGGTCATAATAATCTGGCCACTCAGTGGGTACTACACAGTGAATTGTGAGTTCTTCATGGTGGCCATCTTGGTAGAGGCAAGGTTTTGCTTCCTCATGTCGGAGCCTCTAGCAAGGAGAACAATTAGCAGCACAAAGGGATATCGCCAACTTTCACGCCATGCATCCAGAGGCAATAGTGCCTTAGATCTCACACTGCAGATATACAGCTTTTAGGATGTTTGGTACAAGGAGTTTTCAGGGTCCTGCTTAGGCACAATTAAACTTTATCCATGTTCCACATAACATAGCAAATCTTGCATTTTTCAGTCCTCTTTACATTTGGGTTATTTGTACTTTAAAATGACTTGTATTTGTATCAAAGCTAAATCTTTATAGCCACTGTGGCAAATTCTGGGCCTTGTAAGAGTGCATAACAACAGATTTTGTGTTGTCAAATATAGATAATGTGAACTCTCCTCAACCCCCAACGTTCTGTACACCTGGTCTGAAGGTCCAGCACAAAGAAAAAAGCCGTGAGGTTGAGAAACCTGTAGAGAATAAAGAGACGAATGTCGCCAAGACTCTGGACACTCCACCAGTCCCAAGCTTTGATACAAGATGGCTGAAGTCTGACCCATTAGTAAGTGGCTTATACTGGCCACATGCCACTGTACTGTGATCTCTACATTACCAGAAACAGGCACTGCTTTTATTTAGCATGGTTGGCAATTACACAGTGGGCAACATCTTGTAATGTATGAATAAGAAGTAAACACAAGATATTTGACAATTGCTTCCCTGAGATCATTTGATATCAGTAGATTGTGTGCGGTTCTAGTCTGACCATGAACAGATGTATTTTTTGTCTTCTGTTCATTGAAGGACACCGCTGGATCTTAGGATCCTGACCCATGGGTTACTGTGCCAAATGCAGGAGTAGGATGCTAGGTACAAACAAAAGAGCACAAGGCAGTGACACAAACACTGGCTTGCGTTTCAGAATGTTAGGACGTTGTTTCTTGATAGCTATTATGGCGTGTATCCGAGACTGGCGGGGGTAGGCGCTTTGTCTTTTTTCTATTCTTTTTCTTATAACTCTGGTCTTTTTCTCCCTCCCTTCTCATATCTTCACTCTTTTCTATTTCTACTCTTTTCCTACATTTGTGTTTTTCTGTTGATCCACATCTATTGGTTGTTTATACTTCTGCTTAGAACTTGATCAGGGACTGAAGGGGGGAGGGGGCATTGGATATTATTGAGCAGCTCCTGTTCTAGGTTTATTAATATTCAAGGTGGTGGCTAGACTACACCCTTGATATACCAGTTAGGAGCTATGTTTGTTGAGTAACTTTACATGATAGGAGGTTTTGTCCTGTTCGTAGGGGGGCCCCTTCTACCAATAACCTGCACTGTGTGGATCTCATGTTTTTGAGAATTGTTTGTTGTCCCTTGTTAATATTTTTGTGTGATCTTCTTCCCCTTTCTATGGATGTATCTTCAATTTCATTTTTTAATTAAATATTGATAGAACCAAAAAATAATTTGGCGATTTGTTTTGATACACAGTGCTTTAAGAACCTAAATGTCATTCAGTTCAGGTTTTACTTGTGCTTTAAAAAAGATTTTTGGTAATGGAGATAATTTCTCCTGTATTCATACACATTGAGCGTAAATCTATAGCTCTCTCTATATTCCTCACACTCCTAAGTACTTTGACTCTTTTTAATAGGCAAGGACACTGGACATCACAGAGCCAATCTCGAGACCAGAGATGTACCATACTGCATACTTGGAGCAGGCTGCACCACTGGGCTTAAACTCTGATAGATATGAACACCCAGCCAGGATGACATCGCCACCCAAGATGAGAGACTTCACTATAGGAACACCTCCACGACCAGAGATGACTACATGTTTAACTGAAGATGTGCTCAAGGTACCACTTTAATCATTTCTATATAAATAAGCTGCTGACATGTTTCAGTAGGACTATAATTTTACCTACCCATACTGGAACTGAAGACTTCTTCAACCCAAAATCTGTTTAACATGCTCCAGCCAGTAAGCAACCAGTGCCCTGGCCTGCACATTGTCCCATGGGGGGGTGCAGGAATGTCATTCCCTCAGGCTGGACTCCCAACAGCGGGGAAGTGATAAAGGGACC